AAAAAAGTTTTATTTTATGTAAAAACAATCAAATACCTTGCGTAACACTGGACAGGCCTAATACGGTATTTTCCAACGTGTTAAACTACAGATAAATATTAAAAGTTATTCTAGATAGTTATGTGCTGGATTTTGATATCATATAATCACTTATAATGTAACCACAAATAGTTGAATGGAATATTTTAATAACCAAGATTTTTAAAAATAATGATAAAATAGTTAAATGCGTAATCATTTTTATATTTATAATCTTGATGTAAAAAGTGTATATTTTAACATACTTTATACATGTAATGTAATGTATATACAAATATTTTATCTCTTTATAATTTACAGAATAATAAACATGTAAATTGTATTATTAATTGAATATTGAGGACATCTTACTAATAATAAAACGCATTTAAAATGCTGATTAATTACATTGTACTAGCTCAAGTTTTAGTTTTTCATAGAATAATTTACTAATTATTTTTATAATTAAAGTATATTCACTTTGATTAATGTAACATTTGACTAAAATTCTAACATGTTTTTAATAATACAATCGACATAAGTCAATAAATTTAACAATTGTTGTAAAAAATTACATAAAAAGTTTAAATAATTTGTTATTTAAAGATAGTACAATTGATTTTTTAAATTAAATCATTATTTTAATATAATTTTATATAAAATAAGTGTTATAATGTTAAAAATAGTAACATTTTTCTCTTTGGCCCTAATATGTAATGCAGCCCTTCTTACAAGTATTGTAAGTATTTATATTTTACTCAATCATTTATCCACTTTACAAACATTATGCATTTTAAATGCTTTTATTTTATTATTAGTAAGATGTTCAAGAATATTCAATTAATAATACAGTTTACATGTTTATTATTCTGTAAATTATAAAGAGATAAAATATTTGAATATAAATTACATTATATGTACAATGTATAAAGTACTGTATGTTAAAATATACACTTTTTACATCAAGATTATAAATATAAAAATGATTACGCAGTTAACTATTTTAACATTATTTTTAAACATCTTGGTTATTTAAATAGTTCATTCAACTATTTGTGGTTACATTATAAGTGATTATATGATATCAAAATCCAGCACATAATTATCTAGAATAACTTCTAATATTTATCTGTAGTTTAACACGTTGGAAAATACCGTATTAGGCCTGTCCAGTGTTACGCAAGGTATTTAATAGCTTTCACATAAAATAAAAGTTTTTAAATTATATATTTTTTGTTCAAAATATTCATATTTTAGGTCTTTTGAATGCGATTCCTGTAAACAGAAATTCTGACTATTGTTTTGGCGATTATTCCAATGGTTTCAATGGATATCTCAATAATTTCACGGCATTATTGCCGATGAGTCCGGACGATATGGACGTCAAGTTTCTACTCTTTACGTGTAATAATAGGGATGTTTCCCATAACTTAACCTATTTGTCCGAATCAAGCGATTGGGTTAATGCCGGCTATAATGCCAGCGCTATCACTAGATTTATAGTACACGGATGGCTTGAGCAATACCCTGGTTCTGCTTTTAACTATATGGAGGTTAGAATTAAAATTAATAGTTAATTAAATATATACAGATTATTACTGATAAATTAAAAGTGCATTGGTACAAAATTACTCTAAAACATTATAAAAGTTCAAATATTGTTTGTTTTATTTGAATTAGATTATGAAAGATATATTTCTGAACCACTCGTGTGTAAATGTAGTGGCAGTCGATTGGTCTAAACCGGCCAAAGCTGTCGACTATTTCCAGTCGGCATATAATACGCGAGCCGTCGGACAAATGATTGGATGCGTTATCAACCGATTGGCTCACGATTTGGGAGTAAATCCACAGGACATTCATTTAGTCGGTCACAGTCTGGGCGGACATGTAGTGGGCTTTGCGGGCAAGACTGTAACCGATCCTAAAGTGGGTCACATCACAGCCAACGATCCCGCGGGACCGGGATTTACGGGACAGCCAGCGAAGAACAGACTGGCCGTCGGAGACGCCACCTTTGTTAATGTCATTCATAGTAACGGCATTCCGCCCAATGGTGTGCCAGGACTTCAGGGTATGTGCGACCGTGGCTTATATGTTGAACCATATGTTATGTAATCTTGATAATTATTTGTTAGGTTTGGGTGATTTGGAAGCTTTGGGAAACATTGATTCATACTTTAATGGAGGTTTGACTTAAATTTATTAATTATTTCAGATGTTATTTATTGAATTATTTATAAAATTAAATTTATTAATTACTTTTAAAAAGATTTTGCTGTTGTTAAAAATGTAAATTAAAATTAAACACTATAATTTAATAAACAGGCAGTTTTCAGCCAGGATGTGGACTAATCAATGCAACATTACTGCCGGTTATCAATAATTTATTCACTAATCCCACGAAAGTTCCCATGTGTATGTGTGGCTTATATATAATTAATAATTGTATTTGTTATTAATTATTTGAAATTCCAAACTTCATTTGTAATTTAATGTAGCTGTGCTCAACTTGGTGCTGTGTAGTCATGTCAGGTCTAATAATATTGCTATCAATGACCAGTCCTACGGTCAGAGCACAGGATGTCAGCCCATTGGCTATCACTGCACCTCTTATGATGATTTCATGAATGGTCTTTGCGGTGATTGTGGATCCGATGGCAAAGCCTGTCGACCAATGGAATTGAATTTAGATTATTGGGACAATAAAAACAATTGGGATATAATTGACACAAATAATAAATTTTACATCAATACAGGAGACGCGCGTCAGTCTGGCTATTGTTTGTCTCACTATCAGATTGTGGTAAATCTAAAAATATATGTTTATTCTGATTTTGGTATTAATTTACTAATTAAAACTTTAAGGTAAGCAGTGGTCAAAGCACTTGTTCCGGTAGTTTAGAGATACAGCTCTCAGATGGAAGTAATGTAAAGATGTCGTTAAACAGTAAACATGAGATTCAAACTAATGATGGTAATCAACATTACGCTACTCTTCATACGGTGGCCAACCCTTTGCCAATCACTACAACCGCTACCATTAAATCCCAATTCGGCACTAATTGTATTATAAATGAGATTAAATTTAATTTCATGAGTAATATTAATGAAAGGTTTGCTTTTTAGTTATAATGTTGATATAATGATGAAATTTTTAAATTGTTAATTTTTTTGTTATAGTGTTCGCAATAACCTATCATTTACAGTAAAGTCAACCAATGGAGAAAGTTTTAATTAAAACAAAGTTTAATCATGATAAAGTGATTATTTTACTATTTCACTAAATAAAGCATTTAGAAAATGATTGAATTTATTAATTATTTTAATCCTTTATAGATATCTAAAAAGTTTTAAAGAATATTAAGCATAATGTTTCTTGTTTATATTAAAACATTTATTAATTACAGCGATTGAAATATTTTTGCAATTTAATTAATAAATTATATTAGAATATTAATAAATTTAAATAAATAAATTGTGGTAGTAATAACATATTGTTGATTTTATAATGTATATTCAATGAAATGTTTTAGAATAACGCATATGCCTCAAATATTACATAGATTTAAATTGTGATGATTGAAATAGTAATTGTTTAAAATGTTTTTATAATCATTTTATTTTTTGACAAAATCATGCCATAATAAAAATGTTTCAAAATAAATTATGATTAAATTAATAAATATTCTAGTAGTATAAAAATATGTACTGACAATTGTGAGTACTAAAAATTTTGAATGATTTTGGGCACACTGTATGTTTTATGAATTGATTGATAGAAAACTTGTGATAGAATAAATCGTAAGTTTTAAACTATTCAGTAAAATTTGATTTAATATAATTTAAAATTTTAGTAAAATATTATATTCATTTCTATTATAATTAAATAAATATAATATAGTATTTAAAGTTTTAATCACCAACCATCAAGATGATTAAGTTAGTAATTATATGCTTATTGGTATCGCATTGCTATTCAGAAAAGAATAGTGCACTTAATGAATTTGTGAGTAAATAATTAAATATTTAAAATATTAGTTGTAGCATTTAACTAAATAAATATCGTATTATAAATCAGTATAAAATGATATGGTCAGTTATAAATATAATAATATTTGAATTTGTACGATCAGTTCACACATGCCTGGAATATATTTGCCCATTTGGCGGTTAAAGGAGACGGTCAGTCAGTTCATCAAATCAATCAATACTATGTATTAATATTATAAACTGATTACTTATTTGCAGAGCTGTTAACTAAAGTGCCCATAAAAACGCAATCAGACTATTGTTTTGGCAGATATGCCAAAGGGTTTGACGGTTTCATCAATAAAGCGGGTCTT